AACATTATTATTTAATCGTAATAATAATAATAATAATAATAATAATAATAATAATAATAATAATTTACTGATATAAGATATAATCATTGTAGAGAGAAAATTGTTTTACTTTGGTAGTAGAAGTAGTATTTGCTCCTTCAGGAATTTTATTCCAGCGTGTTACAAATCCAGTATTTAACGGGAAACTTGAGGCAATATTGGCCATTTGATTTCTAAGTCGGTTCATCAGATCTGAAAATGCATAGATTAGGGAAAATGATGAAATCTCATTGATACATACTATTATTATATTGGACTCTATGATTCGTGTTGGTTGTATAATAATATTTGTATACTTTTATAAAACGGTATATATCTTCGGTTAACGATTCTAGGTCACTTTCTCGTTTGAATCAACGACGTTTCATAATATCTTTAATATATGCGTTAATATGAGCCTTTATTATATATTATCATAACGTTCGATTACGAAGGATTTTAATCTTTAAGGGAATTCACAAATGCTTTCATTTTCTTGATTTTTATTCGTTATTATGAATTCGTGATCGATCGGGCACGACAATAATTAATCTAAATAAATGTTATCTATTATTAGGAGGTAAAAATTATTATTATTATTATTATTATATACATTATTTTGCATCGTATCATCTTGTTCCCGATTTTATCGAACGACGAACGTCACGAATAGGACATTGCTTTACGTAATAACGAAAGGAAAGTTAATTCGAACAAGACCGAATCATTTGTTATACCGTTTAAAGTGAAGGGTTATTTTATGAGAAAAGGTGGACGTAGCCGAGGATTGCAACAGGTATATTGCCGGGACATAAGGTAAACGGTGCGATTTAAGATGCATTCTATTAAGGCCATTGTATTAAGAAGAATAACAACATGGTTCACATTGGTAATTCGACTCGAAAATCGAAATAATATAGTAGCCTCTTTGTGATTAGACAAGAAACGTTTTCGAATCTGTTTACGCCGCGAAAAAATTCCAAATTTTTCCTTCGATCGTTTTTTCCGTTCGACATTTAGATTTAGATTTCTTTTTGTTTTTCACTTCAACATTTATTGTTGAATTACTTTTATCATACTTTATCGTTGTTATCAAGATGATTGTACTACGTACGTCTAATAGTTTCATGGTATTCGTTTTACGAGTTTCTCGAAAGGACCCTTTAAAAGATAATAAATTACTCGAATGTCTTTTTAACTCTGCTCGTAGCACGCCATTGCGAATTAATTTCACGGAAGCGCATAGTTGGCGTGGAGCCGACATCTTCAAGCTCGATAATCGCTTCGAGTCGACGGATCTTGTACAATACGTATGTACTTATATACAAGGTGGCCCATTTTAAAACTATTTGCTGGACCAGTGAAATATTTATCGAAACTTTTAGCGACATTGAGAACATTTCTTTTAGTCTATGAAAGTATTTAAATTTCAAATTAACCCAAAAGATTTCAAATTAATACACGCATGCATCTATATATATATATATATATATATATATACGCAACAATCATTTTCATTTTTATTTACCATCCGTAAATCGTAATAGTTGAAAAATAAAAGATCTCTAATAAAATCATTTAAACGGTGAACGTCGATTCGTATCGAACGAACGATAGAAGCCTTTCTGTGTCCTTGAATAATAATGGTCAAACTGACGGGCAGGAAATTGGAATCCGCAAAGGCAATTGGTCATTTCTCGGCCGATAACTTTACCTCCTCTTTCTCTCTAACTTTTCACTTTCGCCATTGTCCTATATGATATTACGTACGTCATAGCCAATCAAAATGACCTAGGCAAAATGGCGGGCAACGTCAGGTGAATTTGAATAATGATTCTTTATAAGACTCGATATTACATGAAGGGAACGATTTTATCGAAAATCTCTGTCCATTCATCGAACATCCTTCCCACCGATTTTATCTCATCCTGTTTCCCATCGGATTATTATCCGTTGATTTAAAAAAGACCCAAATTTCACGTAAGATTATAATTTTTCAAGCTTGGAATTAGGCACTTTACTCATTTCTGGGAAAAGTCGTATTACACTTAATCGCGAGAGAGAGAGAGAGAGAGAGAGGAAGAGAAATAAACGAGCCATCAAGCAATAATAGTTGCAATAATACTTCTAATACAGGCTAATGCTGTTTTTCTTTTTGAGGAGACACGAAACTAAATTTGATCAAAGTTGCTTTTTCTTTTCTTTTCTACAAATCCATTGAAGTAATGGTAATATTATGACGCTTCGCAATTGCATTCTCATAAAGAGAATAGTAATGAAATACACTTACCTTGTAATGATTGTCTTAGATAATCGAAATTAACGGTGCTTGGCCTAAATAAAGACCACGATTCGTCGGAATCGGAAGAATCGGATAATCCAGGAATATGTGGTCTGCCGAATATGTCCATCTCGGATCCGGGAAGAACGAGCACCGTATCGACATTTTTTTTCTCGTCGCTTTCTTCAGATGTGTCGAACGCTAAAACCAAACGAAGAAAACGAACGTATTATTATAAACGATTTACACTAAAAATCTACGAAAATCAATAATATAAAAGATCGAAAGAATCGCGTACGGATGTAATAATTAATTTACTTTTTCATTTATTAATCAATTATATTATGGTTTCAATGCTCTCATAATCGACGTCGATAAATAAAGGATCGTATTTACCGATCGTCGATAAAATAGTCATTTCAATCCCAAGAGGCAAACGCGTTGTCGCAAATAGAAGTAAATAAAAAAATTTAGGAGAACAGTTGGTTCAGATTTATGTCAGAATAATATTCTTGGTGGGCGTGCGTTTATTTATTGCAATTTTTTTTTTCCATGCAATATTTTAAATTAATCAAAATAAAAATTGGTTCGATAATGGAGTTACAATTTTATTGCAAAAAAATTGTAATTATTGCGACAATTTTGATAAAAATGTCAATGTACTTTTAAGATCAGACCAAGTCGAAATATTTTATTTGAAATCGAGACTCGATTGGTAATCGATCAAATCGTGTATCGTTATATATTAAAGGGATAAAATGTGACGTCTTATTCGCAACGGCTCTAGGAACGTCCCCAAAAAGGTTAGCAACGTGTCTCTTCGATATATGACATGTGGGTGGGTATCGTTCTGGAATTCAGAGCGATCGATAGTGAGTTCCTTAAAAGGAACACATATACACACACACATATATATAAATGTGGTGTGTATGTATCTGTTAGCGGGCGCGCGCGCTCACGGGCGAGCCATACGTTCTCGTCGAAGCTATCCAAGTTCCTAGGGGGATGCTCGAGCGAGTCGCGCGAATTATTCGAATTGAATCGCTCGGATGCTGGATGATTAATGTCATTTCCCATTGAAAAGAGAATGTATTGGTATACGTGACTCTCTCTCTCTCTCTCTCTTTGTGTATATAAGTGTGTATGCTTTTGACTCCCAATAGCCTTCTATCCAACCTGTCAAAATTATTCGGAACGTTGATAGAGTACTTTCCTTATTTATTTCGATACTTGAATTTGCTATTTTTCGTGAGAATTTTATTATAAAAGTGACTTGATCCTGTTATTTTCTTTCATTCATCAATTTCTTTTTTTATGATTTTATATTCTTCTTCTTATTATTATTTTAGTTCCACAATTTACAAGTTTTATAGAAAATTTTATAAATAAATGTTATTATAAAAGTTGTTTCATATTTCCCTCGTTTTTTTTTCTTTTTCAAATAACTTTGCATTGTTGTAACAATTATTATTATTTTTTAATTAGGCTCTTGAATTTTTTTATTATAAATTTATAATATAAAAAAAGCTTTCGTATTCGACGAAAAATTGAAGAATTGTTGAAAATCATGAAATCGTAAAATCGTGAAACGATGAAATCCTCTTATTTCCTGGAAATTCAAATCTTCTATTATTCGTTATGCAACAATGTAGGAGGGTGTAGAGAGAGAGAGAGAGAGAGATAGAGAGAGAGAGAGAGAGAGAGAGAGAGAGAGAGAGAGAGAGAGAGAGAGAGAGAGAGCTAGATGGTTTCCGTTTATTCGCAACGTTGCTTGATGCGTAATATATTGCTTTGTAAACATTATAGTACACAGGCGGTGTACTAGTCTGAACACTAGTACGTCGAACGATTAAAGCCATGTCAGATCTTGCAAGATAATATTTGTGAAAATTTGGATATCTATGAGGAAGGAATACAATATATATATATATATTATATTATTGTATGTTTGATAAGAATTATAATGCTCGATTTATATTAAATGTTATCGATTTGGATAATATTAAACGCGATTGTACGTCTCTCTCTCTCTCTCTCTCTCTCTTATTCGTCAGATATTATTGGTATATAGGAACGTTGTCTCTCGTCGATCATAATCAGAACGTAGTTACATGGCTGATCGGTTCGCACAAGATTAATATTGTTCTCGTATATACATACGATGCATCTTGTTAATTGATACCTGCCTTTGTGTTCGAAGACGCTTCTCGTGAGAGAATTTATGTATATCCATTCGCGAGTATATTTGCCAATGACAACTATTTAAAAAGAAATCACTTACCGATCAAACTTTATCGTCATAATCAAAACATGGGATCAGATTATTCCATATAAAATTCTGAACAATTAAAATATAAACGTCGTATTGATAATTTCTATCACAATCGACGTATCTATCGTTAATTGTTATAATCGTCGTATTGAAATCATGTCGTTTTTAAAATTCGATCGACAAATCTGTCAATTTTTGTTTCGACGGTAACAAGTAAATCTACTCTCTCTCTCTCTCTCTCTCTCTCTCTGTTTAACTCTCTTTTGATTTTATTCGCGTTCATTACCGCGAGGGGATTAGATTGACTCAAATTGACTCCTACGTTTCTCCTGCGTCACGCGCAATTGACGACTAAGCCGGCAAATTGGATAATCGCTAGAAGCACTCTGCGAAATCTGCTCGTGTATGTGTATACGTATATCGCAAGTAGTATCTTATAACTTTTAATATTATTTCGTAATTTTTTTCACATTCGTTAACGTGTCGCGTATATGCCTGCGCGTATTATCAAAGATCCAATCGATTCTTATAGAAATGGCTTGTAACGCTTTATACATAAGTGTTAATAAGAGACCACTCTTACGTATAAACATACAGGATGATCTTTTTAAGAAACTTCAATCGTATCGATTTATCGAGATTATTTATTACTAATCTTTTACTTCTTTCTTTCTGTCCCTCTTTTTCAACAAAATATTAAGCGCAGGTTTAACGTGATAAGATCTCTGAAAAAAAAGGAACAAAAGAAAACAAACGAAAAAAAAGAAAGAGAAAACACGTAGTAGAGGTTCCAGCTGTGTGTTCAGCACCAAGTGTCATTGACTAAAGAATAAAATAGACGACTATGGGGGTGGTGGTAGCGGCTGCTAGTGGCATATCGGCCTTGGCAAAATTCCATTTCCTTTTTTTCTCTCTCTCTCTCTCTCTCTCTCTCTCGATAAAGTACACGTCTCTCTAGAAAGTCAGCGCCATTTTTACGAAAGAAAGGTCTTCTTAGCTTCCCTCCTCAATCTTTTACACTCCCCAAAGAGAGGAATAAAATCCATTCCGAGTTTTCATAATTTATTTTTTTGCGTCGTTTTTATTATTCTTCCGTATATTTACTTATTATATTGATTCGATTAGAAAAATCTTCTAAACGCGATTGACATAATCTATATATATATATATATGTATTATTCGATTGATTAGATCAGAATTCGAAAATTTGTTCAACTTGAATTATCACCCAAAGTCAGTAACTTATTTTTTTTATTTCCCTCTTTTACCATCGGAAAAGTCAGGCAAATAAAGTGCATATCTGCCGCCCCCTCCCCCCCTCTCTCTCTATCTCTATCTTTATCTCTTTAAATCCATGGGAAGGAGAATAAATAAAGCAACGGTAATGTTTATCCGGAAACGCTGGGCAATTAATTATTTTCTCGCCTGTACGTTTCGTCAATCAGAGGATGCATTTGAGTGGATGGGGATGGCATGGGAGGGAATTTAATTGGAACGTTGAACGATTCGCTTGAGCACGGAAGTCGAAGCATCCATTTCCTCCTACGGCTTATAGTTTGGCCGAATTAACGGCAGGTAACCAAGGTAATTGGGTCGTACACCATCGACGTCGCCTATGCAAGGATCACAGTAGTTCTGATGTGTTCTACCTTCGATAAGGTATACTAACGATACGATTCTATACGGATGCTTATCCCTCGTTAACCGTATCGAACACCGTAGGCTACTCATATCTAACTATTCGAATTATCTACGCATCTATTTATTATTAATTATTAAGAACGAAGATAATGTACGCACCCACACGTATATATATATTATATACTAAACTCTGTTATACCATATGCAAGCAACACTTTTTTTATGGACCACCCTTGTACGCGTAATACACACGCGTATATAATAGGGTGTGTCTTTTCAGCGATTATATATAATTTTATTTTGATTTTTATTTATTCGTTTTCTTTCAATCAAGGGAAGAATCAGTTGGATTACTGGGAATACAAATCTTAATAATTGTAGGCCTTTTTCCTAAACAAATCGAAACGTACAATGAACATCCCTTTCCACGGTAACTAACAAATTAATTAGAGAACGTTACGTAAATCGTTTCTCCGTTCATTATATAATACTCTAACGATGAGTTAGTAGTTACGTTTAACGTTCACGTTTCCCCTGGCCTTTATCAGTAGTTTGTTCCATCTTCGTAGGGTTATTAATTAGAGAGGATGTAATGCGATATTACCGACCGAATGAGTGTTGTCCCATAGCTAATTACTTGCATCGTTATTAGATTATGTTGTAATCGTATGTTATTAACGAATTACGAAATATTTCTATTTTCTCTTCGGCCATGTTTATATCTGTGTGTTTCTGCACGTATACATATACATAAGAGCTTCCTTCGATGGCTAATCTCTGAATTAAACTCGATATATATTAAGTGCAATGTTCTGTTGTGGTAGTTCCGAATGGAACTACTTTGCTATCTACTAAAGTTGATCCGATCCGATTGGACGAGTAAATGTATCGTTTTCTGAATAAATGGATAAGGGCGCGAGGTCGGTAAAGTAGACCCCTATAAATCGGTAAGATTGAATCTCGATTTTTTTTTTTTTTTTTTTTTTTTTTTTTTTTTTTTTTTTTTTTTTTTTTTTTTTTTTTTTTTTTTTTTTTTTTTTAAGGTACCTTTAATATTGATGAATTATTGATAATTTTTTCAAACGAATATTGCGCCTTTTGCGTATATATCACGTTACTTAAAAATGTCCTTGATACTTACTACTCACATGACTGTTAACAAAAAAAATAAATATTTTTCTCTCTAATATTTAATCGTTCATTAAATCGTGTGGGATAATTCTTTTCGAGGAAATAATTTCGCGCAACAAAATTTCTTTGGTTAATAAAAAGGAGCAAATAAAAAATG